CGGGAACCGGTTTGTATATGGGATCCGAACCCTTGGCGGGAGCGCTGCCGCACTCCCAAGCGGCGCACTGTAGCAGTGCGCCACCGGGCCGGCCCCCTTATTTGCCACTTTCTATTGCACTAGACCTATAGGTAAGACGTGAGCTTACAACGGAGGCAGCAACCCCTCACAAAAGAATCACGGTCTATAAGGTGCTTCACACCCATTTCTCTTAAGCCACAAGCACAGAGAACAACAGCTAGCAATTGCCAGCTGGGTTTGACAAGCACGGACTCGGCTGGAGACATTGCATGCAACAGGAGCTCTGAGTAGGGCGGGGTAAGGAGGGGAGGGAGACGTATTGCTGGTTCTTTTTCACACTGTTCCGGGTGCCTGTGCTAAGGGACGGGTGGTGAGGGACAGATGGAGAGGGGAACAGGTAGTCTGGGGAAGCTGTGGGTGTATCCACTGTGAGCACAAGAGCTGTTTCTCATACCTTTCCCATTCCAGCGTGGGCATGTCCCAGCTTGACCACCACGGGGAAGTGTGGGGCTGTGAGCTGCAAGAGACAGAGGAAATCACCTGTTAGCATCTCAGTGCATTGCCACCAAGGCTCAGGGCACTGCCTGTTCTGTAAAAAGATTCGCTTATCTGATATCACCAGGAATCCCCACAAGAACGTGCTGAGAGATGGTCATCCTGCCATGGCTCAAACACCCTAAAAGTCCTCTCACAAGACTTCAGAGACATGCATGCTTCTCCCTATGATGCAAGTGTGCGAGTTGGCTCCAAAGGTCATGTGCTTGCCCCCGCTGCACCTCACTTAGCTAGGAAGTGAGGAAACCAGGGCTCAGACCTAAGCTATGTTTTCACTCTTTCTTGTTGTTCCTGTGTTGTATGAGATGTGTTTGCTTGGTTTCCAGAAGCACATTCTGAGTTGCTTGAGGGCAAAGTTTATCTCTCGTAGTTATATAGGAATAGTATCACTCCCTCCATTTGGGTCACCCCCAGCCAGGGGTCATCATGCTCCCCTCTCTGGCTGCACTTATTATGTCTGTTCTGGTGCCTGCCACTCTGTCCTGGAGTGTCTGCTGACAGCGCTGTCAGCCCTCTTACACCGTGGGCACCCCAAGGAACCCAGCCCTGCCCTCTTGGAATCTAGTGCCTAGTCTGTCAATGTAGTAGCTGCCATTCTATGGACCTCATCTCATTTTACCCCCACAGTGGCCCCATGCGGCAATCAGGGAAGGTATTTTTAGTACCACTTTACAGATAGGAAAACTGAGACTAAAGTCAGCAGCTGGGCAAGGATGGAGCTGGGTCTTGAACTTGGGTCTGTCAGACTCCAGGCTTGATGTGAATAATTACCTTTAAGGTCCAGCACAAAGGCGGCCTGTAGTATACTCTGAATAAAGTTTTTTCCCCCTGGTTTCAGGCTAAAATTTAATACACTGTGGTGTCTAGGGCGAACAAATGTATGTTTAAAATAAAGAAGCAATATTTGATTTCAAAAGCAATATCTACTCACTATAAAAAATTTATAAAATATATTAAAGTGTTAAGTATAATGAAGACAATAAAAAATATCCTTAGACTTCTAACAGTTTTGGTGTGTTATCTGCTGGTCATTTAAAAAAATATATATTTGGTTTTTAAAAAAATTTCTTCTCTTTTTACAAAATTTGTTCTCTTTTTACTGCATATCCAATTTTGTTTCCTGCTCTTTCCACTTAATCTTATGTAATGGGAATATTCCTGGTTTTATTTTTTAGTTTAATAGTTAGTATGAAATATTTCACCTACTAAAAAAACCCTCAAAAGCAATATTGTGGACATGATTTTGCTTAAGAAATAAAAAATTGCCCAAATAGTTGAAGACCCTGATATACTTTTTTCTTATCATACTCCCTTCCCTCACATCCCAGGGATAGCCATTATATGAGTTCTGTGTTTATTAGTCTCTTACATAAATTCATAATTTCACTATTACACATAATTCCCAAGCAATATATGTTACATTTTTAAACTTTACATAAGTGATTGCAAAAAATCTATTCTTATACAACTTTTTTTTTGCACATTATGTTTGTGAGATTCACATACATTAATATGTACAGCTCTCGTTCATTTTTTACTGCTGCATAGTATTCCATTTCATGAACACATCGCCATTTATCCATTTTCTGCCAATGAACATTTAGGAGGTCCCTGTTTTTGCAATTATAAACAATGCTACTGCAAGTATTCCTGAACATGACCCCCTCTGAACATGTGGGGAGTTTCTCTAGGGCACATACACAGGAGCGGAATTGTTGTGCCTGGGGAATGCTTGTCTCAGCTTTGCTAAATATTGCCAAATGGCTCTTCAAAGTGGTTGTGCCAACTTATGCTCTCAGGGGCAGGGAAAGAGCTCCCTGTATTTGGGGTTGAAAGACTTAAATTTTACCAAACTGACCAATGTGAGGTGGAATCAATAGGTGTATTTTCACCAAGGGGCTTTTGTTATCTGGCAGAATCTGATGATATGGGAGGAAATGAAACCCAGCCATCCAGGCAGATCTTAGGTATTGCCAGCATTCAAGGACTGCCCGGGTCACTACTGGGGTTTTGCTTCCATCTCATCTTGGGGTAGAGCCTGCGGGGAGGGGACATGGGTGCTCTCTCTCCTCCTGTCTACCCCTCCCAGTCTGATCATATGCTGCCTTGGTGGGAACTGGAAAGAGCGTGGATGTTGGAGTGTCAGTGGCTCTGCAACGTACTCTCTGTTTAATCTTGGGCTAAATATTTAACCTCTTTGAATCTCAGTTTTCTAATCTGCAAAATGGGGATGATGATGCCTAACTCACAGGATTGTTGCAGGAAGAAGAAATAAGGAGTGTAAAATTGCTTAGCATCAAGTGGTAAAAACCTAAGGTGTAAACTAGAAGTGCGCAGGGGAAGGAGCTAACTTTGGTGTTATGGGGTAAGGGGAGAGAGAAAGGCAGACTGGACGATTGAGGACAGAGAGCAGGGGCTCTGGCCTGGCGGAATCTGAGGATACAGAAGGGAATAAAATGAAGTCCAGCAAAGGAAAATCAGGACACTGCACCAGAGTGAGTAATCAGAGGTGATGACAGGTTGGAACTCTTAACCTGAAAGAACCTGATCAATAACCTTATCTGACCCCCATGTTCCCATGCTGTGGTAGGTAGAATTTCTGGGAATTGCACTCAAGATTGCACTGTAATTGCTGGAGCCTGTGAATGTAATGAGATTGTCATACTCTGTCATACAATGATTGTTTTATGTTCGATTGCACTGGTGACCTCAAAATCGGGAGGTTATCTGGATGGCCCAATCTGATAACATGAGCCCTTAAAAAGAAAGAATTTTCTCAGGCTGGTGGCAGAAGAGGAAGTCAGAGATTCAAAGCATGAGAAAGACGTGACATAATGTTGTTGCTTTGACGTGAAGGGGACCACATGAGAAGGACTGTGGGCAGCCTCCAGGAGCTGAAGGCAGCCTCTGGCTGATGGCCAGCAAGGAAATGGGGACCTTAGACCTACAGGCCCAAAAGAACTGAATTCTGCCAATAGTAAAGAGCTTGGAAGAGAATCGTGAACGCCGTGGGAGAACACAGCATGTAGGCACCTTGATTTTGGCCTCATAAGACCCGGAGCAGAGAACCCTGCCGTACCCTCCTGGACTTCTGACCTACAGAACTGCAAGGTAATAAGGGGGTGGTGTTCTTTTAAGCTGAAAAGTTTGTGGTGACTTGTTAGGGCAGAAGTAGAAAACTAATGCTGCATGTGTCCTCATAGAGACTTGAAGCCCAAGGAGTGAAGTGATTCTCACAGCACGCGATAGCCAAACCAGGAGTCCAACTTATGTGTTTGACTATTAATTAAGCACTCTACCAAGACATTCTTCCCTGGGAATCATGTGCCTATCTGGGGTGTAATAAGTGCTTTCCCCTAACGATAGTGATCAATAAGATAATATCAAATCCAATCAATTCAGTGGGCACTAACCGAGTGCAGACTATGTGGCCAGCTCTGTGTTTTGTGCTGTGTGGGACACACAGAAGAGAGACAAGATTTCTGTCCTCAGGGGCTTATCATCTGGTTGCAGAGTTGGGTTGTACAATGGAAGGGCAGAGGGAGGGAGCAAGGCAGGCAAGTTGGAGGTGGGTTGGAATTGGGTTGGAGTCATGGGCAAGTCTTCATAGGAACTGAGGCTCTGGCCATGACTCTGAAGGATGAGCCGGTTGAGGGTGGGTGGAGCGAAGGCACAGAATCCCCAAGGGGTGAAAGGTGCAGGGTTCTGTGGTCTTCCCAGGTGGGTGTTTAGAGTCTCCATGAGCTCTAATAAGCAAAGACCTGTAGGAGGGAAGGATTTACCTATGATGCTCAATATGATTTTATCTGCAATAAAGTTAAATAGAATTACATATCTGAATGGAGTGCCCTTCTCCAGCCTTCTTAAATAAAATTGGAGGAATATATTAATTGTCAGGAATGGTGAGAATAGAAGCTGTATCTGGACTTACAGGACGCAGAAAGTCAATCTAGAAAAATCTGAGAATTTTTAAGTAAAATATTTCAAAGAAAACATTTTTGAAAATGTGTTGAAAGCAATGAATTTTCCTGAAACTGGGGGAAATTTCTTTTGCCATTCGTTACTTTGACTTGTTGGAAGCAGCCTTCTTTTTAGAACCGTGTACGGGCTGGCAAGACTAGGGGTCCAGAGTGGGGGAGAAGAAACAGCCAACTTGGGGCAGATGAGTGGGGGGCTTCAGAGCCAAAGGGAGGAGTTGAGGTTGTTGTGTAGATGGACCGTGAGGAAGTACAGCAGTTCTCAAACAGGAGAGGGGCTGCTACCTTAAGGCAGGATGAATTGTACCGGGGGGACTGGAGGGCCAGAGGCCAGTTTGGAACTGATTGCAGCAAACACTCATGCCACGGGTTGGGCCTGCACTGGGATGGGAACAGTGAAGGGAACGGGGGCACTCCCAGGAGTTTTTCTTTTTTAAATGGCACTTCTATATTGAAATACTTCTATTAAAAGGACCATAGAAATTCAGGGTGAGAACTGTCTACAACCACATCCTCTAATCAAATCAGTGTTTGTATTGGTCAAATTACTTTATTATCCTCATATATAGATCCAGATGTCCACTAAAAACCCCAGCACATTCTACAATAATATTAGAGATGGAATTTTACGTCTGTCTTCCCACTTCCCACGCTGTAAATGCTTTTCTGTTTTTGCTACAGACTTTTTTCCCTCCTAGACCTCCTCGACCCCCTTTCCCCAGCCAGGTAACTCATCTCACCTGCCTTGTGTGTCTGGTGCGTACTCTTCCCTATCACTCAATCTTTGCAAACACATTTGCACATATATGGTGAAGGCTGATCTTTACTTTTTCAAACACAGCTCTTATCACTCAGTATAACACCATGCACTCCCCTGCTCCCATACCAATAATTACAGTCCTAACACAATAATTTTAACAGGTGCACAATATTCCATGTACACATGTGCTGTGATTCGTCAGCCGTTTTCTTATTACTGGACATT